GTTAATTGATATTAAGAAGCATTTAATATAAGGTTTTGTACTACTCGGATTTTAAATATCAAAATATTTTTTCCAATATACCAAATAAATTTCTATAATTATTCCACCACTTATAAAGAGATATGAATTATCCTAGTAAATATATAAATGTTAAAATATTTGCAAATATACTTTACTAAAAAGAAAAATTGGGGTGTGAACTTAGTGAGGCAACAGGCCCAGTTCTGACCTCTAATCTATTTTCAGCTCTAAGTGGTAATAAAAAAAAAAATTCCCTGCTTCAAAATCAACACAGCAGCTTTTAGCATATCATTTTTTCATACCACCCTTGACTTCTCTTTCAAGATAAAATTTCTTTTCTAATTAGTTTTATATTCAGTCTTATTTTAACTCCACAGTTACACGCTTTTAGTTTTATGCAGCCTACCTGCTTCCTCAGTATCACATTACAATTAATCCTTGACTCATGACTGGTTCCTTTGGTGGCCATTCAAAGTTGTGATAGACCTCCCCAGGACTCTATATATATTTGTCTGGTATTTATAACCCAGATTCAGATTTATAATAGCCAGATGGGTCCTCCATGGGCACATGATTGCATTTTGGGCTCTTGGCTACTTACATCTCTTTGTAGCATCCAGTGGTCACATGAGCATGATTTATTGCATGTTTTGCTGGAAACTGGCCTTTACTTCCTATTTCTGGCAAAAGCAACCATTGTGGACAATGGATTTTTTTTTAACGACCATGGTGGTTGCTTTAGTAGCATAGTATTAACTGAATAACTACCACAAAAAAAGATCAGGTAAAATCAGGTGCAGTTTCCCATTTCCTAGTCTGATACCTTAGTTGTAGATAAATGTCTACCGAATGCTTGTAGCAACATTAGAAAACTGTTGATTGGGAATGTGGACTATGTGCATAGTTTTGTATACACACAATGAGATGTTGTTGTACTAGAATCCTACAATTTAGAGCAGGGGTGTCAAACTCACATTTTCACAGCGGCATTATATGATGTATCAGGACTTCCCCTCTCTTTGCTAAACCAGGCGTGGGCATGGCCAGTGTGTGACACATCCAGCCCAGGGGCTGAGAGCTCTGGTTTAGAGTAAATATTACTGATTGTATAACATAACAATGACTAAGTGTCTGAAAATTAATGTATAAAATCATTCCACCTGAGAGCAAAAAATTAAGTGAACAACTAAATTCTAGTAGATAAATGGTGAAAATTTAGAGCAAGTCAAATAAGAATCAAATTTCAAAAATACAAGAAGGAAGGGTTCTGCTGGACCTTGATGTTTAAATAGCTGATAAAAATAGGCCCTGAATCAGCTGTGGATTTCACTTGAACTTTCTTCCTGACAAATGAAAGATTAGCTCTGATCTTCTCCAACATGGAAGAAGGGGAAAACATACACTAATAAAATACACATTGTTTCCTTATCATCCTCTAATGAAAGACATTATTGAAATGTGTAGGACATGCAGCTACAGCAATTCATGACAGCAGCAATTTGATTCTCGGGGAAGCTGTAAACTGCAGCTCCCTGAGCCTAATGAGGATGGGCAGCTGATCCTGTGAGCTGTTTGGGGTGTGTGTGTGTGTGTGTGTGTGTGTGTGTGTGTGTGTGTGAGAGAGAGAGAGAGAGAGAGAGAGAGAGAGGGAG